GACCGAGGCTAGGTGGGGGTGTGTGTTGGGAGGACGACACCAGGACCACCCCCTCTTCTCTCCCGCCCCCCGTCGTCTTTCCCTGTCAGAGAATTGATCACATCTCCGGGGAGACGGGTGGGGGTGGGTGAAGTCCCCCTCCCATCTCTGTCCTTGCCTCTGCCCGCAGCCCCCTCCTTTCCTGGTACCCTGCCTTCGTCTGTACTATGCTTACTCCTTCTCTTGTGCCTTTCTCCCCTTCCATCCCCTCTTCTCTCCTCGCCTTCCCAGGCTCCCCCTCCTCGCTTATCCACATCCCGCCCCTCCCTCTCGGTTCCCTGCGTTTTGTCCTCTGCAGCCCGACCCGCCTGGAATGGGTTAAGTCAGGGGCGGTGCCTGAGCGGGGCGGGGTGGAGGGAAGGGGTGGGACCTGGAGGGGAGGGGGCACGCAGTGCTGAGGCTGGGGGGCACGGCGGGCACTACCGGGGACCCAGCGAGCTGCCTGCTGCCAGGGGTCTCGGTGGAGGCGGAGCCGCGCGGGTCCCCACCCTCTCCCGGAATCCTCACCCTGAGAAGCCTGGGAGCCCCGGCTGGGAGGAGGAAGTGCTCGGTGACCCCCTCCCGCCTCCCTGCGCCGATCCCGCCCCCTGCCTGCGGACTTGGGGAGCCGGCGGACTCTGCCTCGGACACCATGAGACTCGAGACGGGAGCCCCCTCGAGGTGAAGCCGCAGAGTTCCCGGGCCTGCGCCGGGCGTTCCCTGGGAGAGCCCGGGGACACCCTCCCCACCAGCACGCACAACTTCCCGGCTTTTCACCTGGGAGTGGTGGAACGGCCAGCGGACTAGAAGCAGGGACTTAAGGACAGGGGTCGGCCCCCTGCCTGGGCCACCAGTCGGGGTGGGGGGGACTTGCCCCTCGCCCCCAGCTGCTCTCCACGGATGGCGCCGCCGGCTGAGTGAGAGGGCGGCGTGCAGGACTTCCCCGCCCGGACCTCTTGTCTTCGCGGGGGAAGATGTACGAGAGTGTGGAAGTGGCGGGGCTCACCCCTTCCCCTAATCCCTTCCTAGTGGTGGATTTTTATAACCAGAACCGGGCCTGTTTGCTCCCGGAAAAGGGGCTCCCCGCCCCCGGCCCCTACTCCACCCCGCTCCGGACTCCGCTTTGGAATGGCTCAAACCACTGTACGTACCGGCCTCCCCTCTCTTATTGTAGGAGCTGGGATTGTAGGAGCTGGGGATGGGGTGGGCGCCGGGGCCTTCACTCCTACCCAGGGATGCGAGCCTGGGGCATGGTGGTGGCTTGTCTCGACCCTTGACTTTCTTCAGCCCGTGTTGTGAAACTCGGATGTCCTTGCTGGACAATTGGAGCGCCTCCTCACCCCTCTCAACGGTTGGGCCGTGTTTCTGTTCTATTAGGTCTGAGGAACTTTGGGGGTTCTTAGTTTCCGGAAACATTCGTTTCTCCCTTCTTCCATTTCCTCCAGGGGAAATGAAGCCCCTTCCCCCCAGTTTATATTTTCTTGCTTGGAATCCAATGCTTTGCAGCAGAGTGGTCCTTTCTCCCATCCTGGAGGGTGGGGTGAAGGTCCTGTCTGTGGGTTTGTTTGCTCCGAGGAGGAGGGGCCTCCTCCTCAGATCCTGCCACTGCCAAAGCCTGAGGGACAGCCCCCTCCTGTGGGACAGCTGCTGCCCCCAGCCCTGCTCTTTCAACAGTAGAGTGGGTGTCGGGAGTGCTGGTGTCTTTGGTGCTGGCAGTGGGGTGTGACAGAAAGGGGAACTTGATCAGACACCCATCTGCCATCCTAACCAACCCTTACACCTCAGGGAGGGGCACCTGGTCTATCTCGGGATTGTCCTGGCCCCAGACGCTTGGCTGTCATCTCTGAGACTCCTGTCCCAAGAGTGGTGAGAAGCTGCTCTGGTGGGAAGAATTCCCCCTCCCCCTAATCCGGATTGTTCTCTGGGGGAGAAGTTTGGTTTTGTGGGTCTGGGGCTACTCTGGAATTCAGGAATGCATCTTTTTCCAACTCTGCCGTGTCCTTTTGTTACCCTGTCTACATCTAGGGATAGGGCCAGTCACTGGGCCGTCTTTTCCTAAGAGGGATGTTGGTAAGAACCCTGGAGTCCTGGCAGCCTGGTCACCTTGCTCACCTGCTGCCTCATCTGGGTTCAGGCTCCTCCGGAAGGGAGGGGCTTTCGGCAGCATCACAGGAGCTCTTTGGGCCGAGGTTGCATACCTGGATATGTTCCTACCCAGCTGTGAGGCAGTGTACTCTGAATGGGACTGAGCAGGCACTTGAGGGTTATTGTTAGATAGCTCAGGTTTCTTCCCCTACCCTGCTCGGGCTCATTTCTCCCAGGAAGTTCTCCCACCCTCCTTGCCCTGCTGCCTCCCTCCTGCCTGCCAGGGAGGAGGGGTGGAGCGGGTCTTTGGGGACCAGGCAGATTGGAAAAGGGTTGAAGGGCAAAGTGTGTACCCCCAGCCCCTCTTCTCTAGGAAGAGAGAGCTGAGGTGGAGAGGTACCCCACCTCTGCCCCTCCCAGGGGCCACCTCTGCCTAGCCTTTCCTATTGTTCTGTCCCCTGACCTTTGCCTCTGGGTCGCAGTGGGGCTACCGAAGCTGCAGAAGAAGGTAGGGGAAGGTGTGAACTTCAGGGGAAGGTGTCAGCTTCGGTTGACTTTGGGAAAAAGGGAGAGGTGACAGATGTGAGACCAGGCCCCTTCTTTCCATTCTCCCAGCTTTGGGGCAGGCTGCCAGGGTCACCCCTTCCACCACCTCCGTGGCCTTTTCCAGAAGACGGGGGAGAAGCTGGGATCCGAGACCTTAGGCTCCAGCACCTAGCCCTTCCTTAGCTCCTCTGTCCCTTCTTTAGCCTGGGAAGGATAGCTCCACTCCTCCTGGTCTAGAACTGGTGTGGAGAAGGAGAGTTGGGCAGGCAATGGGTTTGGTGAGCCCTGCTTCCCCTAACCCCTGGGCAATGAAGTGGAGGCTTGTCCCGAGACCTTGGCTCAGGTGGGCTAGAGGTGGAGGCTGGGGCTCCCAGTCCCGTGTGTATGTGCCTGTGTTGGTTGGGGTGCCAGTGTACTTCAGGCCCCTAGGCTGTGTGCCCGGAGTGATGGGGTATAGGCGTTGATCTGAGGCCCAGGAATGGCCTGGAGGCAGAAACCCGGCTTGGGGGTTGGGGGGACACAGGGCGGTGACGGGCAGACCCTGTCTAGAGTACATGGGATTAATGTCACCCTCTTGTAAGTGTGTGGAGGGTCCTTGCGACTGTAGCCGCCCCCAGCCCTCTCACGGAGAATTCTCCGTTCCCTCCTGCCACCTCCACCAAAGGCGGGAAGAAACGGCAGGTTGGCCATGGGAGGGGGAGACTTCCCGGGTCCTGCAGGGCACTGGGACCCTGCCTCCCTCCCCAGAGCCCCCATTTCGGTGCACTGGAGGGCGAGGGGGCGCACAGGATGTGGCTCCCCTTCTGTCCCCCCCAACACTCCCGCCGCTCACGCCTCCGCCCCACTTGCAGACGTCCAAGAATGTGAAGCACGTGGATGCCCGTAGTGGGGGGAGGGGAGAGATGCTTATCGCTGGGCCTGGGGCCGTCTTCTTCGGCCCTGCTACACCCAGAGCCACCCCCACCCTCTCCCCGCGCCACCCTCCCCATCCTTCCCCATGGGCTGCGAGGGGATTGGGCGCCAGCTGGATTGGGAGGGGAGCCGCTGGCCGGGGGCCCGGCTGATTTCCTGCTGATCTCCTCCAGGAAACCGGCCCCTGTGCGAGCCTGCGAACGGTTCTGGGGCGTGAGGAAGCCGAGCGCTCGGTGCCGCCGCCCGCCGCCGACGGGAGGGAGCGGGGGAGGGGCGCCCTGGCAACATTGGCGGGAGGGACGTCTGGCTTCCTGGGCCGTTGCCTACCCTCCCCTCCGCTGGGCGCAGGAACTTTGAGCTGAGAAGGTGTGGTGCTTCTCCAGCCTTCGTCCTGCAGGAAGAGGAGAGATTTGTGGGCTGGGGCCTCTGGGAGGGAGGTTAGCGGGGGTGGGAGGAGTCAGGCTGTGGCGGTCCCTCCCCCATTCGTCGTACTCCTGGCGGACCTGTAGGTGCAGGGAGTTATAACTGCGTCCTAAGTTTTGGAGAGGCTGTGAAGGGTCCGGACTTCCACCTGGGCCCTCCTACTGGGGAGCTGGGGACTGGGCCAAGGCCCTGGGTTCTAAGGACAGAGCGCCAAACCTCAGAGCTGGGTTACCTGGGCGACCGGTGGGGATGTGCTGGCAGTGAGGGTGCAGACCATGTCACAGCCTCCAAGACAGCCAGCTGCTGCGGGGTGAGCTGAAATGAGGACTCACCCAGCCCAAACTGTAGCCCCCTGTCCCTCTCGGGTCATCTCTCCTGTCCTGCCAAAAGACAATTTTAAAAAGCACATTCTTTCAGCTTCATAAACACCCTTTGGACTTTGCCTTAGCTCCAAATTCCCCTCTAGTCCTCCCTGGCCTTAGCGCCGTCTCCCCCTCATCCCAGTATCCTCTGTGTCTCACCATGCCCCACCTTCCCTCTTTCCACCCCACTCCGTACCCCAAAGCCCCCTCTGTCCTTGCTTGCCCTCGGGTCTGGTTCACTTAGAGGCGGGGCCTTGGGGGGCGGGGCCGGGGTCAGGGCAAAGGGCGGCCCAGGCTGCGGAGGTCAGTGCCTTTCTCCTCTGCTTGTTGGAATGCTGACCAGGATTCTAGGCCATGCCCCCCACTCCCCACACACACCCCCTTGTCCTTGATACCCCGCCCCCCCACACACCAGTCTGGATTGTCTATTGTTACCACTTTTACGTCTTGGAAAAAGTTAGCACAACAAAGGGCTCCTTTGTCGCTCACCCCTCTGCCTCCTGGCCTCACCAAGGCCCCCCAGGCCTCCCCCTCCACCCAGCAGCTGTTCTCAGGCCTCTCCGCCTGTCTGATTTGCTTGTCTGGCCTCAGGGAGAACAGCAAAGGGGTGACCAGGCCGGGCAGTTTGGTGTTGGGGTGGGGAGCAGAAGGGCTGGGTGGTCAGTCTGCTGGATTGGTAGGGATGTGGGCGTTGGCTGTCCCTTTGCTACAGGTCGGTCTTTGGGCGGGGAGGGTACACAGAGCCACAGCAGTGCTGGGCGCTGGGGAAGTGATGCCCAGTCCTACTAAGCCTGGAAAGCCCTGCCAAGGTTGTTGACCTGGTTCCCGTTGTCCACTGCCTGGCAGCCGTGGTGTGTCTGCGGGCGAGGGGGGAGGGAGGGAGGGTTGTAGCATGCAGCAGACCTCCAGTGTCCAGGCTCTTCCCTGTGTCTGGACTTTGGGACCATGTGACCCACAGCTGTAAGGTGGTTGGGCCAGGAGCTGTGGATACCTTTGAATGCCAGAACCTCCTATGCTAGAGTATTGGGTGGGGCCAGGTAGGATCAGGGGATGTGGGAGAAGGCAGGGGGATCTACCATTCAGTGAAGCACTCTCTCCCACCCTTGGCCCTGGACAAATGGCCTTTGCCAGGTGGCCCCTTGGGAATCTAGAATTGCCTTGGTCATAGTTCAAATCTTGCACAGTATACCCCTCCCAGCCCCCCTCCCTGCTGCCCAGGGTTTGGACACAGACAGCCGCCACCCAGCCCAACCTTGTTCGTTCCGTCTGGGGTGATGGGCATGGAGCCAGGCACTGGGGAGGATTTGGCAAGTGGGAGCTGCCCCTGCTGGCTGGGTCACCCCTCGTCTCTGCCCTCTTGGTACTGAATAACAGGAGGGAGGGGGTAGTAACCCGGACGTAGTATTGAGGTTGGACAGACAGGGCATTGATGGGAACAGATCCCCTTTGTTATGCTGCCTCCCCCCACACAGGGGCACCCAGAATGATGGACTGCAGGGACCCATGGGGACTCTCCTCCCTGTCTCCAGGGGGTCCCCCTGCTGGTCTCAGGGAGTCCCACCTGCTCTGCCCCAGCTCTGGCAGGGAGGGAGAACATTTGCGTCTCTTCTTTGCACACCCTCGCCTTGGGTCCCTGGCCAGGGGATTGTTTGGGTGGAGGAGGGGCTGTGGCTGCTGGCAGAGTGGGTGGAGGGGGGAGCGGAAGCAGAGGGGCGGGGGAGTGGCCGCCTTTGAATATCCTGTTGACCCTAGTTTCCTCTGCCCCCAGCTTGTGTCCTCTTCCCTCCCTCCTCTTCAAGTCTTAACTCCTTCCTAACTTGGGGGAGAGCCGGCCTGGCTGCCTAGAGGCCTGGGCTTTATACCCAGCCAACTCCCACCCCACATCCCCAGGTGAAAAGGTATGCACACCCCTAGAATCGGATTTAGAATCTGATCTTTCTGATTTTGAAGGCAGGGGCCGGGGGGTGTAGACGGGAGTGATGGGGTGCTGGAGTCTTCATCCGCAGCCTCATTCCCTGAGGCTGGGAAGTCTCAGCTCTCCCTGAGGCTGTGTCCCTGCCCCCAGGGGCAGATTAGCCGATAAGCAAGGTAAGCACGATGCTTACCTCGCTTACCAGATCATCTGTAGTGAACAATTAATTTCACATGGGTTTCAGCACATTCTCGATTTGATGTGGTGAAACCCATGTGACATTGCTCACTACCATGAACAAGTAAGCCTGCGCTTACCTTGCTGACCGGGTTGTCCACCCCATCAGGGTTTGTCAATTTCATAAGCGGCTTTGATTCTGTAGGAAGGTGCTGTGGGGTTGGGGGAGAGACAGATGCCAGCCATACCTAGAAGCAGAATCTTTGATGTGGTGAAAAAATGTGAAATTGTTCACTACAGATGATCATCTGGTGAGCAAGGTAAGCAGCGTGCTCACCTTGCGTATTGGATAATACCTGCCTGCCTGGGAAAGATCCTGAGGCCAGGTAGGGTGTTAAGGAATTCCACCTGGGTCTCTAACTGCCTCCTCCCCTCTTCTCTCTCTAGCCATTGAGACCCAGAGCAGCAGTTCTGAAGAGATAGTGCCCAGCCCTCCCTCACCGCCCCCTCTTCCTCGCATCTACAAGCCTTGCTTTGTCTGTCAAGACAAGTCCTCAGGCTACCACTATGGGGTCAGCGCCTGTGAGGGCTGCAAGGTGAGTGCAGGGGGTCATTGGGAAGGACAGTCCTGGTCAGATAAATGAGATGTCCCCACTGTCATATTCTGGGAATATGCAGTTGGAGCATGCAAGGGTGGGGGTCCCTGAAGCTGCTGCGCTTGGAGGAGGAGAGGCTGCCTACAGTGAGACCCCTCTCATAGGTGAGTGGGGGTCCCCCCAACCAGAGGTCCCCTCCACTCTGTCTGAGCTCCTCCTTATGTCTCCATTCTCCAGCTGGCAGGGCATACGCCCGCTGCTGCCACCGCTGCCCATGTTGCCATGGTGAGCTGGCTGCCACTTGGCTCTTGGCTGGGGACCCAGAAGGCCTGCCCCCAGCGGCCCTGCCCAAACCATGGCAGCCTGGCAGGAGACAGCAGCAGGCGCCCTGCCCTGGCTTCCCCTTCAGGTGTCCAGGCCGTGGGCTCCCCAGTGTCTGGTTGGGTTTCCCCGCCCCCACGTTAGGCTCCAGGGCGCAGAGGTGGCTGCCACCCTCCCAGTAGCTCTGGGCCTGGCTTCTTCTTTCCCCAGGGCCTGAGCCTCCGTACTTGTTTCTTTCCCCTAGAGACTGGGGCTCAAGAGCTGCACAGCTTTGGGGCTTGGGGCACTGGGCCAGCGCCACTCTGCCTGGAGTGGCGCTCCTCAGGTGTGGGGCAGTGGTCAAGGGCAAAGCACAAGGCCTCAGACTGCGTGTGTCTGCCTGTCCTGTCTGGTGGTTTCAGGTTCGTCCTTGGTGTGTCTCTGGTTATTCTGTGTGTAGCCCCTGTGGAGCCTGGTCTTTCTCTATGATTGGTCTGTCTGGTTAGCTGTGTGTCTTGCTGCCTGGCTGCTGAGTCTGGATGCATGTGTGTGTGTGTCTCCATCTCTCTGGCCAGCCGGTGTGTCTCCCTCCTTGGCCTCTTCCTGCTTGATTTCTTTTCCAGCATTTTGAACTCAGAGTTGTGGGTTCCAGATATCTGCGTCTGTCCCATCCAGCCCCTTCTCTTCCTTTTCCTGACTCAGGAGCAGCCCTGGGGTTCTTTTCCTCAGAGGAGGGGAGACCAGGAAGGTGGGTGTGGGTTGGGGGAAGTCCCCTGTCCTCACTGCAGTGTTGAGGCAGGTCCTGGGATTCTCTTGGGGAGTGTCCTTATAGGTAAACCACTCTCCCCACCTTGTCTGGCCTGCGCTGGTAGGTGACAGGCAAAGGCTTGGGGGCAGCTGCTGGCCTGGCCCTCTACCCCCAGGCTGAGGCTGGGCACTGCTCCCAGCATGGTGTGGCTAACCTGACTCCCTCTCCTCCATCCCCAGGGCTTCTTCCGCCGCAGCATCCAGAAGAACATGGTGTACACGTGTCACCGGGACAAGAACTGCATCATCAACAAGGTGACCCGGAACCGCTGCCAGTACTGCCGGCTGCAGAAATGCTTTGAAGTGGGCATGTCCAAAGAGTGTGAGTGCCACGGGGCAGGGGCCAGGCTACGCGTGAGGTGGGGCCTGAGGGGCTGCTCAAGGCCAAGGGCACAGGGATGTAGGATGTGAACATGCATGCACATTGGTGTGCAAGCTCACAGTTACGGGCGGCGTGTGAATAGCTGCGAGGACTTGTCTGTGTGTCTGGCTGGCTGTGGGTCTGTGTGTGGGTCAGTACTTAAGTACAGTGTTCATTTAACTTCCTGTTTGTGTGTGTCTGGCTGTGTATCTAGCTTTCTTGGCTTTGGAGCGGGGCTCACAGGCATACCTGAGTCCCTTCTGATCTTGCATCTTGCGGGGAGAGGCCTGAACTCTGACGGGGGCTGGGTTGGTGTCTGTGTGTGGGGGCTAGCACAGGGATCCGAAAGCCATTGTCTGGTTAAGCCTGGGACCTGGAGTTGGAAGAGAGAATTGGTGCCTCCCCAGTCCCAGAGGAATGGGGGTTTCCAATTTGGGCTCAGCTGAGGCCCTATGGAGGGAGGGAGGAAGGGCTGGACAGGGAGACCCTCTTGTGTTGAATCATGGGTGTTGCCGTGGTGACCGGTGATTGATGATGTCAGAGATAAATGACGCTGACAGACGCCTCCTTGTCTGCGTGGCCGTTGCCATGGCGCCCGAGCCTTGGGGGATGGAGGATGGGGGAGGGGGCTGCTGGACCCCCTAGCCCTTTGTGGGGAGGGCAGTGGGAGAATGAAGTGGGAGGGGACTTGGGAGGAGATAGTTCTAACTCAGGCACAGGGAGCCCCAGACAGGAATAGAGGGGACCCCAGACAGGAATAGAGGGGACCCCAGACAGGAAAAGAGGGAACCCGTAGCATCCTGCCCCCCGCCCCAGGAGGCTGGAGGGGTCCTTCGTCCTGAACCCAGGAGGTGATGGCTCCCCACTGCCGAGTGGACGATAACTTGGCATCCAGAGGCCTGGGACCCTCAGCTTGAGGGCCCGACACCTCCTCCCTCTTGTGCATCCTCCCCCCCTCTGCATCCGCTGCCTTCCGCTCTCAGAGCTTTTCAGTGCAGAAGAACCAGGGTGGGGGACCCTTCTCCCTCCCTCTTTCCCCTCTCCCGGCTGCTCTGTGCCCTGGAGCTGAGCAGCTGCCATTTCAATAGAATTAAAGCTTCCGAATGATAAACGTCTTGTCACAGCTGCAATTTTCTCTTCCCAAATTATCCCCCCACTCTCCGTCTCCCCTCTCCCTTCTCTCCCCTGCACTTGATTGAATTTGCAGAATCGACATGAGTGATCTCCAAATTATGCCAGCTCCCCCCCAACTCGCTGCCCCCCCACCCTGGTCCTCCACCCCCACCCTGCCTTCCTCTCGTGTCAGCAGCCACCACCGCTGGCCCTGTGAGTGATTGTGTGTCTGGGATAATCGGCTGGTAACGACCCCATCGCTTCTTTAAAGCCGAGTGGTGTGTGCGGCTCAGCGCCCCCGGTGATTTGTCAGCTCCCCAGCTAATGGGCCGAGAGATTCTCCCGCCCGCTCCCCACCTCCGGCTGGGGAGCCTGACTCCCCACCCGCCTGCCTGGGGGGCTGCTCAGAGCCAGTCCTGGGGACTCTCTGGGAGACTGCTGCCTGGAGAGCTGGGGGAGTGGAGGCGGAGCAGGTCTTTCCTGGAAGCAGAAGGGAGTGGGGGGCCGGGGAGGCTGAGCGTGGAGGTGGGAGACCCACGCTCCACACGCACGCTTTCAACCCCTGACACACGCACACCTGGAGTGTGTGTTTGAGTAGCTGCATGGAGGACGGGACACGGCTGGCTGGCTGTGGGGCGTGTATACGTGGACACAGCTGTGGGCAGGAGGCCCCGGGAGCGGGCATGTGGGGTGGCTGGAGTCGAGACGATGCCTTGCTGCCTGTGCACGTGTGTGCGCGTGTGTGTGTATGTTTGCATGTGTACACCCACTGTGGCGACCTCCCCAGCAGCCAGCAGCTCTTTATCTGGTGGGAGGAGCTCTGGGCTAGGGATGGACCCTGGGCCCAGGGATGGGCCATGTACCTCTCTCCGACCCGCCTGGCCTCTGCCCTCCACAGCTGTGAGGAACGACCGAAACAAGAAGAAGAAGGAGGTGCCCAAGCCAGAGTGCTCCGAGAGCTACACGCTGACACCGGAGGTGGGGGAGCTCATTGAGAAGGTGCGCAAGGCGCACCAGGAAACCTTCCCTGCCCTCTGCCAGCTGGGCAAATACACTACGGTATGGCTCCCCCTGGCCCAGTGGGGTGGGGACACCCAGGGGCCACAGGGCCCAGGATGGCCCCTCATGGAGCACCCTCCTGCCAGGCTTCCCCCCCGCACCCCTGCCTGGCCCTCCGTGTCCCCCCTCCTCTCCTCCCTCCTCCTGCCATCTCCTCCCAAAGAGCTCTCAGGGAGTGAAGGCTGGGCAGAGGGCAGGCCTGGGGGGGCTGGTGGAGCCAGGCTGAGAAGGAGCGCCGTGGAGGAAAAGGCCTTCATCCTCCCCCCTTCCCCCAGAACAACAGCTCAGAACAACGTGTCTCTCTGGACATTGACCTCTGGGACAAGTTCAGTGAACTCTCCACCAAGTGCATCATTAAGACTGTGGAGTTCGCCAAGCAGCTGCCCGGCTTCACCACCCTCACCATTGCCGACCAGATCACCCTCCTCAAGGGTGCCTGCCTGGACATCCTGGTGAGGGTCTGCACCCTGCCCGCCTGGGCATTGCCCCCATGCCCTTAGAGGATGACCTCTTACTCAGATAATCACTCTTATGAATGTCCATCTGGAATTGACCTGCTTGAATGCCTATCTACCCAAACTTCTACCCTTCATCTCACCTGAATGTTCACCCATCCACCTGTCTACTTACCGCTCAGCACCAAGATGTGCACAGACTACCCAGTCACCCACACACTCACCCATCTATCCATCCGTACCCCATCTTTCCATTGACCCTTCCATCCAGCCAATCCCCTACCCACCCATTGAGTCAGTAATACTCACCCAGGGCCTTCTGTGGCCAGGCCGTGAGCTTAGCTGGGTGTCAGGAATACAGAGGTGAACGCAACAGGGTCCCCTCTTTTGAAAACCTTCGATTTGCAAACGTGTGCTAAGTGCTGGCTGGAGATGGGGAGTAGGGCAGTCCCCTTCCCCATGGAGGAGGGAGCCACAACTGCTTGGGCCCCAGGGAGAACATCCCAAAGGAAGTGGCATCTAGGAGCTGTTAGAGGGGGCAGGTGAGAGGGCACCCTAACTGAGGGCCTGCTGCCGGGAGACCCTGCTGGATTCAGGGACTGCCGGGCAGTTAGTAAGGGTTGGAGGGTGGACTGGGCTGGAGGCAGGCTGGGCGGTTGGGAGGGACCATCAAAGCCAAGGCTGGAAGGAGAAGTTTCCTCCCTGCCATTACCTGGTCTGTCTTGGCCACCTCCGGGGTGAGGAACCTGGGTTATACTGAGATTGTCATTACTTGTGGGACGTCTCTGATTGAATGCGAGGCTGTCAGGAGGGTGGTGGAGTGGGAGGTGCAGTGTGCTGTCTGCAGGGTAGCCTCCCACCCCCATGCCCCAGGTGCAGGGAGGCAGGATCAGGGATCAACCCAGTTCAAGCCCATACACATTAATTGAGCATCTGTTGTGTGCATAGTCTTGGGAACCACGGATATAAGTCTACCATGGTCCTTGCCTACTGGAAATTCTAGTTCCCTGCTAAATTCCGTGTGTGGAGGCGGGATGATCTAGATCTGAGCTGTTCGGTACGGCCAGCTACGTGTAGCTATTTACATTTAAATTACAATTAGTTAGAATTAAATGGAGCTAAATTCAGTTATTCAGTCGTGCTAGTTACATTTCAAATGCCCGGTAGCCACATGTGGCTAGTGGCCACTATACTGGACTGTGCAGACATAGAATGTTCCTGTCATTGCAGAAAGTTCTATCAGACAGCATTGCCAGGTAGTCTTCTGCGGAATGCAGGTGCTGGGAGTGCCAGGATGTGTGTGGCTTGAGTTCCTGACCTTTTGCATCCTCTGTACCCAGATTCTGCGGATCTGCACGCGGTACACACCCGAGCAGGACACAATGACCTTCTCGGATGGGCTGACCCTGAATCGGACCCAGATGCACAATGCTGGCTTCGGCCCCCTTACCGACCTGGTCTTCGCCTTCGCCAACCAGCTGCTGCCCCTGGAGATGGATGATGCCGAGACAGGGCTGCTCAGCGCCATTTGCCTCATCTGTGGAGGTGGGCAGTGGCCTGGGTCTGGGGGTCAGGTCCAGGGTGGTGGTGCAGCCTCCAGAACCTCTCCCAGGGAGAAGCTCAGGGATCATTAGATCAGGAAGGAAGGAACCTTGATCCCTGTCAGGACCCTAATCTTAAAAGGGAAACAGAGGCCCAGAGGGGCAGGGGCAAGGGAGTGGTGATGGGAACCTGAACTCTGGCTCCTTAGTCCTAGGGTGTGCTCCTTCTGTGGGGATTAAGAATGAGGGCTTGAAGCTCAGACCACCAAGATTCAAATCCTGGCCAGCTCTGTGACTTTGAGCAGCTTGCTGAACTTCTCTTTTTTTTTATTGTACTTTAGGTGAAGGTTTACAGAACAAATAGTTTCTTATTAAACAGTCAGTACACATATTGTTTTATGACATTGGTTAACAACTCCACGACATGTCAACACTCTCCCTTCTCGACGTTGGAGGATGTTTTTTTTTGGTGAAAATATACATAGCAAAGATACACCATTTCAAAAATTTCTACATGTACAATTCAGTGACATCGATTATGTTCTTCCAGTTATGCTGCTGTTCTCACTTTAGCTGAAGGTTTACGGAGCAAAATAGTTTCTCATTAAATAGCTAGTACACATATTACCCTAGGACAATGGTTAACAACCCCGCAACATGTCAACACTGTCCTTACTCAACCCTGGGTTCCCTATCGCCGGCTTTCTTGTCCCCTTCTGCCTTCTATTCCTTGTCCCTGGACTGCTGTGCCTCATTAGTCCCGTTTTGTTTTATGGGGCTGTTTGTCCCTGGCTGAACGGTGAACCTCGGGAGTGATTTCACCACTGTGCTAAAAGGGTGTCTGGGGGCCATACTCTCAGGGTGAACTTCTCTTGAGCCACAGTTTCTGTAAAATGGGGGCAATAATAGTCCTTACGTGGTAAAGTTGTTGGGAGATTTAAGGTGGCAATAAGGCACAGTGTTGCCCGAAGGTAAGCCCAGTGTTAGCTCCTATTATTTATATTGTTGGCAGGATTTCTACCATATCACACTGGTTGCCAGGATATGGACGGGTGGGCGTGTGATACCTCCCTGAGAACCCTTCTCATCGCCAGCTCACATTTAAGGACCTCTTAGTGACTTGATGGCAAAGGTTTAGTGCCATTAGGTCTCTAAACACAGCACACAGCTCCCCTCCACTGCTCTATGTGGGGGTGGTGGGAACCCAGAGGAGCTGCATGGGGAGGCCCCACAGAGGAGAGAAGCTGGCTAGTTGTCCTCAGTCTGTGGCCTGGGCAGTCAACGCCCCCTAGTGGCCAAGGCTGGGAACGCAGCTGTGTTCCAGCTCACCTGGCCTGGGCAGCTGCTCAGGAGGGCCTCTGCTTCCTCAGATCGGCAGGACCTGGAGCAGCCAGACAGGGTGGACATGCTGCAGGAGCCACTGCTGGAGGCACTGAAGGTCTATGTGCGGAAACGGAGGCCCAGCCGCCCCCATATGTTCCCCAAGATGCTGATGAAGATCACAGACCTGCGAAGCATCAGTGCTAAGGGTGAGGCTCCTAGGCCTGTAGTGAAGCCCCATGTGTCTGCCCAGGGCAAAGCCCCCAACTCTGGCCTCATAGTCACTGTCCATGCCCGGGGCAAGGCCCCCAACCCTGGCCCAACAGTCATTGTCTATGTCCAGGGCAAAGCCCCCAGTGCCTGGCCCAGTGCCCATTGTCTGTGCCTAAGGAAAAGTGCCCCAAATACCTGGCCTAGTACTCACTGTCCATGCCATACCTGGACCAGTAACCATTGTTTGTGCCCAGGGCCACACCCCCAGCGTCTGAGCCAACACTCCACCTCTTTGTGCACAGGACAACGTCCTGCTCATCTGGACCCAACGCCTCTTCATGTGTCCAGACCAGGGTCCCCCAGATACCCCACCATGCCCCGGGGACTTCCTGTCTCCTACTCCAAGGCAGCAGCGTCACCTCGGCATGGTGGTTAAGGGCATGGCTCTGGAACCAGATCATGTGGGTGTGTGTTCTTGAACAGGTCATTTAGCAACTCTGAGCCTCAGTTTCCCATCTGAGGAGTGAGGATAACAATAGGGTTTACGGAGTTGTTTTGAGGTGCCAGTATGATAATCCATAGCACACAGCACAGAGGAAGGGCCCTGTGTCAAACCTAGGCAGTCTGACCCCAGAGCCCATGTTCGTAACCTCTTTGCCGCACTGCTTCTGGGACTTGGGGGCTTCAGGGAGCTGGCCGTGTCAGAGAACCGAGCCCCAAGTTCAGTGCACAGTAGATGCTGGTATTGGTAGTGTTGGTCCCCTCACCCCCAGCAACCCATCTGGCGCCAAGCTCACTAGACCTGGGGGAGTGGGACAGGTATGCTGACCTCTGCCCCGTCCTTTCGTACAGGGGCTGAGCGGGTGATCACGCTGAAGATGGAGATCCCAGGCTCCATGCCACCTCTCATCCAGGAAATGCTGGAGAACTCAGAGGGCCTGGACACGCTGAGTGGACAGCCGGGGGGCAGGGGACGGGACCGGGATGGGGGCGGCCTGGCCCCCCCGCCAGGCAGCTGTAGCCCCAGCCTCAGCCCCAGCTCAAACAGAAGCAGCCCGGCCACCCACTCCCCATGACCACCTGTGCCCCATGGACACAGCTCATGCCCCATGCCCCGGCTTTTCTCTGCCTTTCTACCAGCCGTGTCACCCCTGCCAGCCCTGCCCCCACTGTCTTCCCAGACAGAACCGGGGACCTTCCCCTGGGGGGTGGGAGGGAGGAGGCTGCGACTCTTCAGACAGAGGCCCGGGCTGCAATGGACTGACCGCTCCTGCTGCCTGGCTGACTTCCGGGTGCAAGGCAGTGAACTGAGCGAGCACCCCCGGTCCTGGGCCTCGGGATGGGGCACCTGGGGGCCTCGTGTTCAAGACACCCCTCTGCCCATCTCGCCACATCTTCATCACCAGCAAATGCCAGGAACTGGCTCCCCCATCCTCAGAACTCACAAGCCATTGCTCCCCAATTGGGGACCCTCTCCCCCCTGCCTTGGTTGGTGATGGGGTGGGCCAGGGGTGGGGAGCTTCCCCCTGTTCATACCCTGTCATACCAACCCCCAGGTATTAATTCTCGCTGGTTTTGTTTTTATTTTAATTTTTTTGTTTTGATTTTTTTTTTAATAAGAATTTTCATTTTAAGCACATTTATACTGAAGGAATTTGTGCTGTGTATTGGTGGGAGCCGGATCCAGAGCTGGGGGGTGGGTCCTGGGGGAGGGGAGTGGCTCAGAAGGGGCTCCCCATCTCCTTCCACGTCCCTGTGCCCCCTTACCTCCTCCTCAGCCTTTTACGCCTCAGTTTTCTCTTTAAAACTGTGAAGTACTAACTTTCCGAGGCCTGCCCTCCCCTCTTTCAGCCAGCTCCCCTTCTCCCTCTGCCTAACCAGTGGGTGTGGACAGTTTCAGGAAGCCCCTGGAAGGAGGGGGCTCCCAGCCTTTGGCACCTGCCTCTGCCCTGAGTGAGAGACAGGCAGGGGCAGAGCACGGGGCTCCTCAGAGCACACAGTGTTTCTCAGCCCTGTCTCTTTGGGCAGAGCTGCCTCCCCATGGTGCCCACACCATCTAAGACCCCAGCCCCCACTGTGAAGGGGCCTGCCCAGGGGTCTGAGCTGCCCTGGCGCCAGCCTCACAGCCACCAGCACCCCACACAGGCCCCCCAGACACACACACACAGATTAGCTGACAGACACACTTGGGCTGAGTTCATTTCCCCAGCCCAGCCCCGCTGCCTGCCCCACACCCTTACCCCCTCCTTGCCCCGCAGGACGGGCCTGTAGGGGGTCCCCCCCTCATCCCCGCACCCCTGGATTGGGGGAGCTGGCTCTGCCCTGCTCTCCTCTCCTCTACCCAGGGTTGGGGTCTCATCCCCCTGGAGCCCGCTGGTGCACCTGTTACTGTTGGACTTTCCACTGAGATCTAGATAAAGTTATATTTATTCTACACGGGCCTCAGAGCCTCGCTGCCTCCGCTCCTTCTCTTGGCGTCTGGACAGGGGCTAGGGATGGGGGCTTTCCCAATGGGCTCTGGGCAGCTGTGGTCAGATATGAGCACTGGGGCTGAGGATTTGGCAAATGCACCCCCAATCTGCCCTGTGGGCTTGCCTTCCTGGGCTGGAGTCTTGTGGAGATCCCGGGGGAGGAGGCAAGTCTGCCCTTGGGAAGTCCTCAGTCTGGGATTCTGGACAGTCCTGTCTGGGGGCAGAAGAGGAGAAGAGACTAGCCTGCCTGCAGGGCAGCCCTGGCTCTCAGGTAGGCTCAGTCTGGGCCGAGGGAGCTGGCCTCTACACTCAGAACCCCTGATCGTTGGGAAGCCCGAGATTGAGTCTGGGGTCACTCTGTGGCACAGAAGTTCTGTTTTGGGAGTGACCGCAGACTTGACCTTCACGGCAGGAGTGGCAGGGGCATGGGGGCTGGGGCCAGGGGCTTGTGGCAATCTAACAAGATTACCGAATTGGGGTGGAAGCGGGAGGCGGCCTATCCATCCTCCTGTCTCCGAAACGACTGTCCTGATGCACAGCCACCGTGTGGGCAGGCAGTACAGAAGGCAGGGTGCAGGAGGATTTGGATGCTGCTGCTCGAGGGGAGTGAGTGTGGGAGGCCCAGAGGGCCGTCAGAGGCCAGTTTTTCCTAGCTCCTCACAGTACACCTCAAGGCCCACAGAAGTCAGTTGCCTTGCCCAGGGTCACACAGCAAGTCAGTAGCAGATCGGGGACCACTGGTGCTCTGGGCTCCCACCTCTCAGTCCAGGACTCTTTCCTGGATCCCAGAAGTCCATGAAGAAGGAGAAGCATCAAGCACTGAGGTCCGGGGGATCTGGGGAGGAGGTGGTGAAGGCTTTGTTGGGGGAAGGTTAACAGGGTGCCGGCCATTCCTGTTTTAGCCACCAGGTGGCCGCAGCTCCTTGGTTATGTTGTCATCCGCCCCAGGCTGGATGGAACCATAGGGACAGAGGTTCTCTTTATTTTCTAACATCTTCCTTTGTTTTTGTTGGTCGCCGGTGAGTCTTGATTCCGACTCACGGCGACCCCATGTGTTACAGAGTAGAAGTGCTCCATAGGGTTTTCACAACTTCTTCATCAACCTGAAATGAAATTCTAATACCAAAAAGGTTGCCTAAGAGTCGATTCTGACTCATAGTGACTCTATAGGACAGAGTAGAACTGCCCCCACAGGGTTTCCAAGGAGTGGCTGGTGGATTCGAACTGCTGACCTTTTGGTTAGTAGCCGAGCTCTTAACCACAGTGCCACCAACGCTCCAATCTTTACGGAAGCGGACTGCCACATCTTTCTCTTGAAGAGTAGCTGGTGGGTTAGCAGCCCAGTGTTTAACCACTACGCCACCAGGGCTCCTTTACCTACACACATGCTCTCAAAAGTCAATAACGCTCTCACAACTGTTATTATGAAGGAGAGATTAAGGGAAAGTACTTGATAATGTATTTCAACATGTAAATGCTTGGGTACAACCACATGGCAGATATGATGGAGTAGTCATAAGCCTATCTCTATTTTTATTAATGAATACGTTTGGGTTTAAAAGAAGTAAGGTCGGAAGCCGTTCTGTACAAGAAGTTCAAAAAAATTAAAGAGCAGAGGTATAGGTGGGCGCTGAAATAAAAATGGGCACACTCAATGTGTAATAAAACCGTGCAACAAAAACCCTTAACCTTAATGTTTTACATGTAAAACTGAGTCAGGTTTGGGGCTCAGGTGACTGTAAAGAGGTTTTCCACTGTGTGACTGTCCAGTGGGACATTCTAAAGTCATTCCTGACAAGTCTATTGCGAGAGGACATCTTGGCATTCCTAGCCCCTGCCCACTAAATGCCAAGGAGGACCCCATCGTTTTGTTCTGTTTCCACATAAGATTGCCATGAGTGGGAGCAGACTCATGGGCTTACCCTGAAGGCAGGGGAGCCCCAGAGGGCTTAATTAAGTAGGGGGCATATTTACAAGCACCACCTAGGGGTGGTGCCATCCCTGCCAGGAACCTCTGGGCTGGGGGCTGCCCTCGCTGTTCAGCAATTCATCACAGTAGAGCAGAGTTTCTCAACTTCAGCACTGACATTTTGGGCCAGGTAATTCTTTGTATTTCTTCTACAACCAGAATGTTCCTTAGAAGCGAGGATGGTGAGACTTCTACTCTCTTACTTTTGACACATCATCAGGGAAGATCAATTGCTAGAAAAGGACATCGTGTTTGGTAGAGGGTTATCGAAACCGAGGGAAACGCTCAGTGAGGTGGATTGGCAGAAAAGCCACAACAACGGACTTGAACATGCCAACGGTCATGAAGATGGTACAGGACTGGGTAATGTTTAGTTCTGTTTCTACATAAGGTCGCCATGAGTCAAAAGTGATTCATGGACTTGCCCTGAGGACAGGAGAGCCCCAGAGGGCTTAAGAAAGGGGCATATTTAGAAAGGCCCCTCTGGCTGCTGTGTGGAGCACAGGTAGGAAAGCTGAGGAAAAGGAGCCCGTGAAAGGAGGTTAGAGGGGGAACGGCCAGGGAGGTAGGAGAGTGGGGGCATGCGAGAGAGAGGGCATGGTCAGTAGAGGTGCAGACGGTGGCTGAGAGACGCCCCTGGATTTGTCATTTAGGTGGCGAGTGATGTTTATCAAGAGCGACCCTCACTGGGGGGGCAGTGAAGGAGGAAGACAGATGGGGGGCAGAGGAGAGACAGAAAGGGGACATGAGGCAGCCATGTAGACAGCTCTTTGGATGCCTGGGAGGAAAGAGGGTGGTAGCTAGAGGCTGAGGCAGGGCCAAGAGCACATTCTGTTTTGTGGGAAGATTTCTGAGGATGGAGGGACTTTAACCGTGTTTATAGACTAGGGGTGGGTAGCAGCAGGGCAGGGAGGATAAAGATGGCAGAGAGAAAGGAGTTTAACACTCAGCTGTCCTGCCTTCTGACCCCACTGCCCACCTCCAACCATCTCCATGGAAAGGGAGGGGCCAAGCTACCCTTCCCAGGCCACCAGGTGGAGAGTGTGGACGGCACTCACAAGCCCTGCCAGACTGAGGCCTGCCCCTGGGGGTAGGGGGTGGTGGCGCCCCCTCCCTTCCCGTGTGGGCTCCTATCGAGGGGGAGGGGAGCCCTTCCTGAGATGCCCTCACAGATGAGCTGGGTTTGGGCAGTAACGAGGGAGTCATTTCGGCTGCTGTTGGCATGGGATCTTGGCCACCCACACAGTGTATCACAGATCACACATACAGAGCTCACGGGGATGTGCAAGTGCACACACACAACACAGCTCACACAGGGTATATACATGCATGCAGACAGCTCACACAGGGTGTATACATGCACACACACAGCTCACACGGGGTATATATATGCATGCAGACAGCTCACACGG